GCCACGGTTACAAAAGAATTTCTGCAGCACTCAAGGTTCCTAAGAGCACAGTGGCCTCCATAATCCTTAAATGGAAGAAGTTTGGGACGACCAGAACTCTTCCTAGACCTGGCCGTCCAGCCAAACTGAGCAATCGTGGAAGAAGAGCCTTGGTGAGAGAGGTAAAGAAGAACCCAAAGATCACTGTGGCTGAGCTCCAGAGATGCAGTAGGGAGATGGGAGAAAGTTCCACAAAGTCAACTATCACTGCAGCCCTCCACCAGTCGGGGCTTTATGGCAGAGTGGCCCGACGGAAGCCTCTCCTCAGTGCAAGACATATGAAAGCCCGCATAGCCCGCACAGACTATGAGAAATAAGATGCTCTGGTCTGATGAGACCAAGATTGAACTTTTTGGCGTTGATTCTAAGCGGTATGTGTGGAGAAAACCAGGCACTGCTCATCACCTGCCCAATACAATCCCAACAGTGAAGCATGGTGGTGGCAGCATCATGCTATGGGGGTGTTTTTCAGCTGCAGGGACAGGACGACTGGTTGCAATTGAAGGAAAGATGAATGCGGCCAAGTACAGAGATATCCTGGAAGAATTTTAGCAAATGGCTGCAATGAAACAAAGTGAAAAATTTAAAGGGGTCTGAATACTTTCCGTACCCACTGTATATACTCTTGTATAGTGTTTTTAGTTCTATTAAACTTATTATTCTTATACATGTATGTATATATGTTTATGTACTTATGTGCATCAATGAATGTAAGAGGGTACGATGAACAATACTGTTAAAATGTTATGAATCAGCCGTTATCTTGATGTTTCTCTTCTGTCCTTCAATTATAACTATTTTAACAAGTATAAATCAGACAAATTAATGTATTATTTACACTTTACATAGTTTTGGCCCCAAAAGGAGAATTAAATTATTAAAAACTTGCGTTTGGTCGACGTCCACAAAGTTTTACATGACAGAGAACACTGATGGAAACTTGTTGAATTTGTTCTACGATTAAGAAAACTCTAAATTATATATTTAGTCATTTTTTCGACACTGTACTATGACTTTATTAAGACTTTTTAAAAACTTTTTTCAACATACTATTCTGTAGTTTGTGTTGCGTGTTGATGAGGTTGGATGTGTCAAGGGATTCTAAGACTCATAAAGAACCATTTCCTGTGTGAAAGGCGTCCTCTGGTCCCGACAGTCCAAGGGCTGAACCAACATTAGCAGAGTTAGGGTCTGCTGGAATGCTGGCCATTCTTCTTAGATGCCAAGAGGAGCTTTAAAGCTTTTACTCCATCGGTGGATGATGCTGCGCTCATCGCTCTTCCCACCAATTACCCAACAGCCCCTTCTGTAAGAGAGAAGACCTCGCTGGTGGATCTGTGAAGCTGCAACGTGAACAATCGAAGGATTCTCTTCACTCCGGCCAAAGCTCGCTGGGAGGAGTCGGCCTCCGACTCTCAGAAGTGCATCAATGGCGGGAGCCTCCTCCTCCTCTCTCTGACCCCGCCCCCTCCAGGAAGAACAGCACACACAGCAGCTGGTCAGTTTCGGATAAATAATTTAATGCAGTTACAATGTCAATATATATATGTGTGCACTCTCACTCACAAAGGAGAAGTAGAAAGCCGATGAGCCCGTCCGTCCCGACATCTCCCCCCCCTCATCCCCAAAACGGGTAAACAGGAAACAACAAATAAAAGGGTCGGTGTAATATTACTCTCTGTAAACCGGCACAACAAACAGTCTGTTCACTCAAACACATGCTTTGTATATAAGTACCTCTATCGTCTCGTATAGTGAGGAGAACACTGAAGACCCCACAACTTAAAACTAACACTGACCTCACGTCAACACTCAGAGCTTCAGATTCAAGCTGAGCTTTCATCCTGTCACGACAGATAAACAGAAACATCATCATCTCACCGGAGATTCACTCGCTTCAGATCATCATCAAGACTTTGGACAATAAAAACTTAGACAGAAAAACAAAACAAAAAAACAATTGTGGTTAATATTCAAAAACGCAACAGAGACGAAAATGAAAATCTGTGAAATAGTGAAATAGTCCTCGTGTGCATTTAGCATTGTTTAGCATTGTTTTGTTTAGCATTGTTTTTCAAATACTTTTATTCTACCAGCAGTAATATTCTGCAGGATTATTTTACCAGAACTAAAGTTAAAGGGGAATAAACTCGTATATATTAGTTGTCATCAAGTTAACCAATATAATTTTGTTTCCCATCTACACGTTTAATTCTAACTCTGGGTAGAACGATCGGGTCACAGCTGAATGCTGGAAAAAGAAAACCGAAAAAGACAAAATCGGTTATTGATCGGACAGTTTGATCCCAAAAGTAAAACAAAGAAGTTTATATCTTAAAGTCCAGGTTCAGTAAACAGTTAAACACATTATTCATGTTGGAAAGACTGAACTATACTGAAAAACTGTTTATTTTTAATACCTTTTCTTTTTGTTAAATATATTTAAATTTTTTAAATTGTATCCGTTACGCTGAAGCTTTCCTACCGCCAGGATTCTTAATTTCACTTTCCATTTACAAACTCATATTTCCCAATATCAGTTTGGTCACCTCAATATCCAATAACACTATTTAACACTTCATTAATCTTCACGCTCCTGAAGACAGACACAGTTCAGAAGGCTTTCAACATGCAGGACACGTACAAAAAAATATATATTTATATATTTGAAAGTATGTTTGTTATCAGACACAAATATTTAAAACTGACGTCATTTTCTGTCTCAATGAAATGCAGCGTAGTGAGTTACACATTCCTACAGATCAATCATCTCTCTGACAAACGATAACCGCTTTCTTCTTGATCATTTAATAAATTACGGAGTCGTTTCTGTTTCAACCAGATCACAAACTAAATGTTCCCGTTCAGAGAACTTTAGGATTTAGAAAAGTACATCTTTTGTTCGGTAAATGCTCAATTTCATGACATGGACAACAGATGTTATGTTTTATCAAATCAGTTTAAAGTCAAATACCAGCCAGTGATGGTTTTAACATTATGACACGACATTTAAGAGAACCCGGTTCTTTACCCACAACTCCTTTTTGTTTTCCAGACGTCTATCCAACACATTATGATTGACTTTGCTTAAAGTGTGTGGCTGTACGCTGTGTGTGGCTGTGCGCTGTGTGTGACTGTGCGCTGTGTGTGGCTGTGCGCTGTGTGTGGCTGTACGCTGTGTGTGGCTGTGCGCTGTGTGTGGCTGTACGCTGTGTGTGACTGTGCGCTGTGTGTGACTGTACGCTGTGTGTGGCTGTGCGCTGTGTGTGGCTGTGCGCTGTGTGTGGCTGTGCGCTGTGTGTGACTGTGCGCTGTGTGTGACTGTACGCTGTGTGTGACTGTGCGCTGTGTGTGGCTGTGCGCTGTGTGTGGCTGTGCGCTGTGTGTGACTGTGCGCTGTGTGTGACTGTGCGCTGTGTGTGACTGTGCGCTGTGTGTGACTGTGCGCTGTGTGTGCCTGTGCGCTGTGTGTGCCTGTGCGCTGTGTGTGGCTGTGCGCTGTGTGTGGCTGTGCGCTGTGTGTGGCTGTGCGCTGTGTGTGGCTGTACGCTGTGTGTGGCTGTGCGCTGTGTGTGGCTGTACGCTGTGTGTGGCTGTRCGCTGTGTGTGGCTGTACGCTGTGTGTGGCTGTACGCTGTGTGTGTTGAAACTGTTTGTCAAAGAACCTTAATGTCTTTAAAGTCTGTTTTCAGTAACAATGGCTGTAAACCTGCTCCCTGCACCAGTGGTGGTAAACATAGTGTGTATTTGATCCTGTTTACAGTACGTTGATGTGAAAGTATACGTGCACACCTGTAGGATGGGTCATGGATGGATTATGAGACAACGGGCTCCCGGACTCAGACATGTAAAAAAGGCCCCGTGTCTTTTTGTGGTGGATTCGAGTCTCTAAATGTTTTGAGTTTCTTTGTGGATTATTTGTGTTTTTTTGTGTTTTATGAGTCGTTAATTGTTTGTTTTGTGTCTCTCTGCAGTCATTGTGTCTCTGATTGACTTGTTTGTCGTATTGATTCTCTAACAAGTATATTAAGTCAGGCTCGTTAAGTAATCCATACAAAGGTAAGCTGATGGTTGAGTTTTCCATTGTTCTGCCTGTGTGTGTGTGTGTGTGTCTCCACAGAGGTAGAGGTGAAATATGGCACACGCCTGCCATCCTGTAAGAGGTCGTCTGTGTGTGTGTGTGTGTGTGTGTGTGTGGTGTACATGTACTGACAGGTAGAGGTGAATTGTTGTGCAAATATGACAGCTAGTTCTCACACTGAAGGACGCTGCTGTCCTCCATCGAGGACTCTGTTTTATATATTGAGGGCTGACTCGGTTTAGTGTGTGTGTGTGTGTGTGTGTGTGTGTGTGTGTGTGTGTGTGTGCTGTTCTCTTGGTAAGAAAAGACAGTCGCTGCAATATGACCTGTATTTAAAGTAGAAGTCTGTAAACTGTATCACACTACAGTTCAGTAAATGTTACAAACTCAGGCTGGAATCTATGAAGGACGAAGCTAGAAAGTAAGTTAGAAAATAATAAGTTACGACAACAGATCCTGTGACAGCCGCCATGTTGGATATCAGAGCGTGGAAGAGCTTCACCAACAGCTCAGACGATCAAACAAACAACGAGACCTCGAACTGAACGTCGAGCGGCACTCAATCTACGCAGAGATAAAATCAGGCTTCGTCTGCTCGGCATCAGACGCCTGACTCACTGGAGGACTGTTCAGGACGTGGTCTTTTCTCTCTCCCAATGCATGCTGGGAGTTCAGGCTCCACCCACAAATGACACTGAACAGGAGAAGTGAGCATATAAAAGCGATGGAGGGGAAGTATTTGCTTTATATATAGAAGTTCGTACCTGGATTTCATAAATCTGAACCTGAAATGAAGCGACGTCGTGTACTAACGATGCCGTATTAAAGACGACGGCCTCGGTGTGGACGTGAAGTGTGAGGAGTTCAAACAAAAACAGACTTCAGATTGTTTCATTTAATATATGTAAGGAAAGGAAATATGTCCATGCTGCATTAATGTGTGTGTTGCATTGTGACTCCTCTGTATCCTGTTGTCTAGTTTAATCTACATCAAAGCATCACATTCTATCAGATCTTCATGTGAGAACCACGTATCTCTAAAAACAAGAGCAGCGTAGCGGCGATGCTTTTTCCAGCTGATCCAAGAGGCTTTTTAAAAGGTTTATTTAGCTTCATAGATTTTAACACAAACACATAAAAGAACACAAACACATCTGGAGATACGTGGTTTTCACTGATGAAGTAAAAAGTACAATAACTACCTCTGAGATGTCGTGGAGGGGAAGTAGAAAACCACTGCTTTGAATGGATTAGATATTATGTATTCATGACCAATAAATAAATAAACTATTGTTCTCATGACGTATCGACTCACACTAACTGTGTCCTCTGTCCACCGTGAAGTCAAACTCAAGATAACTTCCTCTCAAACCACAACTGAAGATCGACAAAACAGCCTCCAAGATCTGACACGTGGGATGTTTGAGGGGCTTTGAACGGGAGACGGTTTGACACATCGGTCCTTTACACAGGTAACAGCTAACGTGCGTGTGTGTGTGTGTGTGTGTGTGTGTTAGGAGGCGGCAGGCTTGCTGTAATCTTCCACCCCGGTGATGGTGGCTTTGCAGAAGAAACAGTCCTTGTTGTTCATCAGGTGCTGGTTGATACAGGCTCTACACAGAAACAACAGAAACACATTTAAATCATCATCCCCATCAACCCACAATCGCCCGATGACCCAATCACAAACCCTCAAACAGCAGCTTCCTGCTCGCGTGATCATAGTCTATATACGTATGACAAAATAAAAGACAACATTTAGACTTTTTGATGGTTTACAGACTTCAGAGCGGTTCAAATGATGAGTCTGGATCCTTGTAGACCAGTGCTGTAATCTAACAACAAAGGGATCTGGATCTGTTAATATGGATCAATGATCGGTCATTAGAATCAGATCCCTGGGAGTTATATTTGCTCCCTTCTTTTCTTTCGTGCTGATCAGATCTAATCCGTGAGTCTTATGATCCGTCGCCACATCTCCCCTCATATTTCCCTCCTTTCTGCTAAAAAGCATGAGCTTCTACAACAGCAACGCCGCGTAATGCAGCAGTGAAGGAGAGTAAAGAGACTGAATGAGGAGCAGAAGAGAGAAAGAGAAGTGAACACAGAGCGATGTACAGAAGTAAAGGAGAACAGAGGTGAAGCGTCCACAGCGCTGACAGATGAGGTGGGAAGGAGCCGGAGTTTTGGCCTCGGAGCTGATTACAAATCAGCAGTGTGGTTTACTCCTCGTGACAGCGCTCTCAATCAGCGCCGGGATAATCCATACGGCTGCTGAGCTGGCGTGCAGGCCAAGCTAAATCAAGCGCACCTCCAGGAGAACATGAAATATGCATCGAGGTATGAATTGAACCGAGGTCTGCTGCCCACGGCGCTGAGGAGGGGTTTCAGCCACCATCAGCTGTTACCAAACAGCTGACGCGTGCGCGTGTGTGTGTGTGTGTGTGTGTGTGTGTGCGTGCGTGTCAGCTGTTTGGATCGATGAGGCCCTCAGGAAAGAGGCTCCATCATCTCAGAGGCTGAGGGCGAGTGAGACGACATAACGGACCTCAGTGGAGACGTTTAGGAAGAATCCAACAATATTATTTATAATATAACAATCAATTTGTTTACGTTACGTGTTACAGTGTTTATATATCTTTAATTTTTCTGTATCTCGTCTGGCTGTTTGCGTTGTAACTTTAAGTGACGGAATTATTTCTTCATTCTGTATATATATATATATACATACAGTATATACACATATATATACATACAGTATATACACATATATATATACACACAGTATATACACATATATATATACACATATATATACATACATATATATATACACATATATATACATACACATATATATACACACATATATATATATACACATATATATACACATATATATACACATATATATATATACACATATATATATATACACATATATATATATACACATATATATATATACACATATATATATATACACATATATATATA